CTATGATATATGCAAATGTCTGACTACTTGGTATACACCAGGTCCTTGACAGTAATTGAAAATTAGCCTCTATTCCTGGAAAGCAATTTAAGATAAAATATCCGCATGAATTTCATTTCAAGATCTAAAGACTAGGACTGACTGGAGAAGGTATAAGAACAACTGTTTTTGTTATTACTGTCATAGGAAAATTGGACTTTGAGAATCTAAGTTGTGACAATTTGAAAGAGGGCCATTTTAAAATTAAAAATTTTAATTGGCACATAGCTTTAAAACTAAAAAAATAATTATGTGTATTCATGGGACACAAATTAACATTGCAATATATGTATGTAATGTGTAATGATCAAATCAGAGTATTTGATACAGCCATCTCCTCAGACACGAATCATTTCTTTGGGTGGAGAATATTTAAAACCTGATCCACTGGGTATTTTGAAATATACAATTAATTTCTTCTTATCTCTAGTTCTGTAGAATAGTAGCAGTTATCTTGCCTAGCCAACTGTACTGTATGCACAGTAACCAGTGTCTCTGTAGTCAGTCTCTCTTCCTGTATTCTTCTCAGCCTGTGCTAAGTACCATTCTACTTTCTGTTTCTGTGAAAGCACATGTTTCAGCTTCTTTGTGTAAGGTCCTGCAATATTTGTCTCTATATTCCAGGTTCATTTTAGTTACCATAATATTTCCTAGCTCTATCCATGTTGGGGAAATGATACTTTTCATTCTTTTTAGGGTTTCATAATATTCCATTGTGCTTATATACTACTTTTTTTTATCCACCCACTCATCTATGAGCACACAAGTTAATTCCATACCTTGATTATTATGAATAATGCTGTAGTAAGAATGGGTCTGTTTATGTATTTTTGACATACTGACTTCATTTCCTTTGGATATATGCCCAGTTAGGAGACTTCTGGGTCATATTCTAGTTCTGGTTCTATTTCTAGTGTTTTGAGGAGCCCCCATGCTGTTTGCCTAAACCCTGAAGTGTTTTACCCTGTGATTTCTCCCAGTAGTTTCATGCCTTACATGCAAATCTTTGATCTATTTAGAGTTGATTTTGGTATGTGATCTAGTTTCAGTCATATATAATGATAATGCAATGTTAATATAGTAGCATGCAATATTATATACACATATATATTTCTCTAAGTACCATTTATTGAAGACACTTTCTCCAATGTATGTTCTTGGTGCCTTTTTAAAATGTTTCCTTATTTCTGAGTTCTTTATTCTCTTGCAGTGGTCAACATATCTGTTTTTATGCTAGTGCCATGCTGTTTTGGCTATAGCAGTTTCATATGGCATGCTTTGAAGTCAGATATTATTATGCTTCCAGCTTTGTTGTGTTAGCTGTTGCTCAGAATTGCTTTGGCAGTTCAGACTTTTTTGCAGTTCCATGCAAGTTTTAAGAATGTTTTCTCTTGTTTCTGTGAAGGCTATCACTAGTGTTGAAACATGTTGCATTGAATCAATAGATTACATTGAATAGTATAGCTATGCCACAGTATGGATTCTTTTAGTCCAGGATCATAAAGATCATTCCAGGCTGCTGATGTCTGTCTCCCCCCCACCCCGTGTGTGTGTGTGTGTGTGTGTGTGTGTGTGTGTTTCAATTTCTTTTATCAGTGTTTTATAGATTTTATTGTAGGGTTCTTTAATCTCTGTGGTTAAATTAATTTCCAGGTATCTTTATAGATGTTGCAAATGGGATCATCTTCTTGATTCTTTTTTCAGTTACTTCATTGTTGTATAGAAATGTAAGCCAAATGTGTTGGTATATATCTTCAGTCCCAACACTCAGGAGGGAGGGACAGGTAGATCTCTGTGAGTTAAGGATTTCAAGGCCAGTCTGGTTTACATAAATGAGTTCCAGGCCAGCCTGACCTACATAGTGAGCCCTTATCTTAAAACTTAAAAAAAGATTTATTTATTTTTATTTTATGTGTGTGAGTGTTTTGCATGCATGTATGTCTGTGCACCGCAGGCATGCCTGGTGTTAGTGGAGACCAGAAGAGAGCACAAGAACCTCTGGAACTGGAGTTGCACTTGGTTGTGTGCTGCCCAGTGGGTGCTAAGAACCAAACTCCTGGTCCTCTACAAGAGCAGCCAGTGCTCTGAATTACTGAGCCATCTCTAGCTCCAAGCACTAACTTTTGTATAAGGACTTTGTATTCTGTAATTTGTCTATCAGTTCTAACGTATTTTTGGTCGTCTTTAGGCTTTTCTGTATGTAAGGTAATGTTATCTGCCAATGGGTGATTTGACTTTCTCCTTTCTGACTGGATATTTATCTCTTTCTCTTGCTTAATTGCTTTAGCTGAGATTTTTAGCAGTCATACAAAAAGTGACAGAACTGGAGAAATGGCTCCAGTTAAGAGGACTGGCTGCTCTCCCAGAGGACCCAGATTTGATTCTGAGGATCTACATGATGGCTCATGACTGTTTGTAATTACAGTCCTGGGGGATCTAACTCTCCCTTCTGGGGTTCATGGGCACTGCACACACATGCTGCATAGAAATACACGTAGGCAAAAGACCTACAAAATAAATGTTCAAATATTCATTGACAATAGATCTTCTTGGGAAAATTGTTTTTTCCAAAGAATTCTTGATTCCAGGTCATTTATAAGTATTTATAAATATCAAATTCCGGGGCTGGGATGTAGTTCTGTGGTAGAGTACTAGTTTAACATGCGCAAGGAATTGAGTTTATTCCCCACAACCACAAAATGATCTGTACTAAAAGAATATAGAAAGTAATCTCCATTAATGCTATTTAGAAGAATGTAATCTAGACTTTGAAATTAATCTACGAGTGTCACCATTTAAAATAGTTTTTGTCATCAGTATAATTTTTGGGGAGATGTCTGTTAAGATCTTCTGTCCATTTTTCTGTTGTTGAAGTCAAATTTAGGACCATACACATGGAAAGAAAATGCTCTCTCAGCTACATCTCCAAATCTGTTTGGCTGGCACATTTAAAACTTTTGTTATTAGTTATGTGTATACATGTGTGGGGATATGTATACAGGAGTCCAGTTGCCTATAGAGGCCAGAGAGGATGTCATACATATCCCTGGAGGCAGAGTTACAGGCCATTTTTAGCCAAATGAACTAGGTGCTGGAAAGCAATGCATGCTTGTAACATCTGAACCATCTCTCCAGCTCAATTTGGCCCATACTTAGATTAGAGTGTTTGGATGTCTATTGTTCCAGAACTACTCATTGAAAAGATTCTCCTGGCTAATTTCTTCACACATCTATAGACTATATGTGAATCTACTTCTGAGTTTTTTTTTTTACCCCATTCCATAAATCTCTTTTTCTTTTCTTTGATGAGTGACATCTTATCTTAATGACTGTGTTGTTATATAACTTTTGAAGTCAGAGAGTGTCACTAACATTTCCCCACTGTTAGGTCTGTATTTCCATATAAACTTTAGAATCTTTTTGTCATACAGTCTCATTTATACAGCTCTAGCTGGCCCATAACCCTCAGTGTGAACCAGGCTGACCTCAAAAAATTCTGCCTGCCTCTGCCTCTGAAGTGCTGGGATTAAAGGCATGCACCACCATGCACTGGCCTTAGAATTTATATTTGATTGAGAAAATAACTTGTTGAGATTTCTGTTGGAATTATGTTTAATATACAGATCTAGTTGGAAAAACTGACATATTGAGCCTTCTTATTGATTTACTGCATATACTTAATTCTTGGATATTTTTCATCAGAGTTTTGTAGTTTCTTTTGTAAGATCTTATGCATATTTTATTAGATTTCTACCTAAGCATTTCATGGATTTGGTACTAATATAAATGCATCATTTTTGTTGTTGTTGTTGGGGGAAGGGGTAGATAAGACAATGTCTCATTCTGTAGTTTAGGCTGATCAGGTCAAGATTTACTCCCTGTGCCTCTGTTTCCAGAGTGCTGGGATTGTAGTCATGAACCACCATACTTGGATTAGTGTCATGTTTTAAATCTCTAATTCAGCTTGTTTGTTGTTGGCATATAGGCATGCCTTTGGCTTTTTTGGTTAACCTTACATCCTACACCCTATTATAATGGCTTATTAGATTTAAGAGCTATAAGATACTATTTTAATTCTGCTCACAGTGTATTTTCCCTCTATCATTTGGATCTAAGCCTAGCAATGCTAACACCATTTCCCAGTCCCAATCTGTGTTTTACTCCATCTGTATTAAATTTTTCTCTTTTGTCCTCTAAGGTGGTGTGAGGACACCATGACAGTCACAGTGGTTTATGATAACTCTGAGGCAACAGAGCTCTGTGCTGCTCAGCACCTCTACCTCAAGCCTATAGCAAAATTAATGATCAACGTATTGCTCCCAGAATGTATAGAATCCGTGAGGCCCTTCTCTAACTGGGAAGTTCTTGACCAACTGAAAAGTCTCATTTGCCCTGACCAGTTCACCACAGTGCGACTCTCCAAGAGTACAAAAGACTTCATCCGATTTGAGGGTGAGGCTGAAACCCGAAGTTTGGTTCAGATCCTGAAAGCAAAGTTACATGGGAAGATCATCAAGCTAAATGGTTTGAAAACTGACTTAAAAGTAGTGGCTACAGATGCCCAGGGAGAGTGGGAACACTTCCCCAAAGAGAAAGAGGCCTCAGTGACTACGGGAGCTGAAGAACAAGACCATGAGAAGAGCCCAGATTCCATCTATTTTGAAGGCTTGCCCTGTAAATGGTTTGCTCCTAAAGGTTCCAGTGGAGAGAAGCCCTGTGAAGAGATCCTTCGAGTAGTCTTTGAGAGTTTTGGGAAGATCAAGAATGTGGATATCCCCATGCTTGACCCCTACAGAGAAGTGATGACAGGTGGGAGCTTTGGGGGCTTTAACTTTGGCTTGCAAACGTTTGAAGCCTTTATCCAATACCAGGAGTCAACTGACTTTATAAAAGCCATGGATTCCCTTCGAGGAATGAAGCTCATGCTTAAAGGAGATGATGGCAAGGCTCTGGCATGTAACATTAAGGTAAGAAGAATCAAGACTTCAGTTTTCCTTGTTCGAGTGATCCCCACACTGAGTTGGAAAGAAGCATCTCAGTTAAATGTCTATAGATTCCACTGGGGTCTGATCAATTGGTGCTGCAGAGATGCATGCTATCATGTATACATGCATGTTTAGGAAGAAAAACAATCTTAATGTGAACACCCAATCTTCTGAAAGCCCACGCCCTGGGATTTTAAAGTGGTGCTTCTTATCATCTGGGTCTCTGCCCAAGCTTTGGGAGGGCATTAAAGGATTATTCATGCGTCCCATGGAAGTAGTTCATATGCTTATTATACTTGACAAGTACCTAAATAATATGCGATTTTTAAAAAGCAATATATATTTAATAAAATATAGGGTGCCAATAAAATATCAAAAAAATTGGAGCTGGAAAAGTAGCTTCTCGGAAGTCAAGAGCACTCACTGGCTGCTCTTACAGAGGACTCCAGCACCCACATGGTGGCTCACAAGCGTCTGTAATACAGTTTCAGGGGATCTGAAGCTCTCTTCTGGCCTCCGTGATTACCATGCATACAGGTGGTGCACAGACATACATGCAAGCAAAATACCCATACACATAAAATAACAAAAGTGTCACACGCTAAATGAGAACATAGTTAGGAACAAGCATAAAGCTGCTTTATCCATTCTGGGTTTGACTTCTAAATTTGTCATGCAAAGCCACTAATATTTGAGCCTTCTTTTAGAAATGGGATGTATAACATTAAACACTGTACTTTCAGCTAGATATGGCAGTGTGTGTCTTTTAACTCAGCACTTATGATACAGAAGCAGGATATCAGAAATTCAAAAGCAGCTTGGACTCTGTGAGACTCAAGTCTCAGAACACGGTAGCTTGGGCTGTGAGTATAAGTGGGCTGCTGGAGTACTTGCCTAGCATCCACAAAGCCCTAGGTTCCATGGAGAAATTTGGGTGGATTGACATACTTTTTGGTATATGGACTCATGATAATGCAGTTTATTGCCTTTTCACTTCTTTTGTATTTAAAATGCATAGCTACAAAACCAAACATGTACATATATATAGTCAAATTTTATATTCTGTTTATGTATATATTATGTGTATAAATCCCACCCAAATTTTTCCATGACTTCATTCCCATTCTCAGAGTTTTAAGTTCTACGGATTTTATAAGTGCTTACTTACATCAGTAATTATAATTTATTTGACTATATGTATTTATTTAATTTTAATTAATTTTGTATTGAGATGAGCAAGCCCCAAACTCACACTGTTGTAGCTCAAGTTTAGCCTCAAATTTGCCGTCCACCTGCTTCAGTCTCCTAAATGCTGGGTTTTCAGGCACGTGTCAGCACACCTGGCTTGTGTATGTCCTCATTTACACCCTACAGAACCCTAAGAGTGCAATGCAGGCACACACTTAATCAGGATTCATATTGTGATGGAATAGAGCAGTATAGACGAATTCTTTTAAATGTACAATGGCAGGCTAATTTTCCTAATGGGAAAAACTGACAGTCTTTTCAAGCTAGAAAGAACCAAAGAGAACAGTATTGAAGGAAAAGAATATCTACTGTTTTGAAAAGGAGAAAGATGTATTATAAAACACAAAAACAAGATCTGCAGAACAGAAAAACACCCGTCTTTAACAAACAAACAAAAAACCCTGATAGGGCTAGGGAATCTAGGCCACTTGGAATTGAGGACACACACCACATAGACACCAAGGGAGACAGTTCAATGAACTGCCCTCACAAGGGAAATCAGTAAAACAAAACTTATAAAAGTCCTCTTGCCTGTAATTATATATAAATGCACAAGATAGCAAAAATCCCAGTCTTGGTTTTCCTTCTTAGGCTTAGAATGAATTATCAAACTTCTGTGAATACATTTACTTTTCACACTTCCCCTGTTTAGCAGCATATGCTATACAAGTACATACATGCTGGTATTTCACCATAATAATTTTGGTTCTCGTCTCAAATCATTGACTTGATTTTTGTATACATCATCTTATCTTCAATATAATGCATTTACTATATTTCTAGTGATTCATTTAAACCAACATACTGCATTAAAAGCATCTTAATTTGAAATGAATATTTTAGTACTATAGTAGGATGCATTGGATTTAGCAACCAAAGCACAGTAGAGTAACTACATCATATTGTTTAATTCACAGCTATAGAAAAATGCTTGCCTTTTAAAATACAATCAAGATGAGACTACATAGCTTATGAACAGCGAAATACTAGGAAACAGTGGATGAAGAAATAAGGTCATTTTTCATCCATGGCCATTCATAATTTTGTTTTTTAGAAACCTGGAAGAAATGTTCATCCTTGAGTTGTGTAAATATTCTGGTAAATCTAGTCATTTAGTTGTTTCTTCAATCTCACGAGTTACCGAAATAAGTGGTGCTAAAGAATCAAAGTTCTTTTCTGGGCCGAGGTAGGCGACAATGGCCATACTGTGGATTTCCTCATAAAAGTCCTCTTTGAAGGCACGCACGATATGTGCTTCTATGGACTTTGTCACATTCTTGCACTATGGCTTCCAGCCTTGTATTCATCACCATCTTATGGGAATTCCCATTTCCAGCATCAGAGAAACAATAATAAGTGCCAGTGGACCATATAAACTGGAAATTTGTCCTGGAAAAATTAGCTGTGGCATCACCCAGCTGCTTGGAGCCACAGCAGAAGCCTTGCATCACTTGGCCTAGGCAGAAGTACAGCAGCCTTTAGGCATTCAACAGGTTTCTAGCAGGTTTATTGCAAACCATCCGCTGGGAACAAGGGCTGTGGTCTGATCCATAACTCCCATGGAACCAATAAGCACAGTCCCCTGGACCAGCTGGGGTACTCAAGCAAGGACTCTGCATTTCCGGATTGGTTGTACACTAGCCGGATTGCAGCAGCAGCACAGGCATCAGCACATGCTGACCTGAGTAGCTATCTCTAGGAGGCACATCGATTATCACCCGGAAGTCCTAACCCAGCTTCAGCATGAATTTGCACTTTCAGTTGTGCTTGTGTGCGTGCGTGCGTGCGTGCGTGCGTGTGTGCGTGCGTGCGTGCGTGCGTGCGTGTGTGTGTGTGTGTGTGTGTGTGTGTGTGTGTATAGCTACTTGTGTTAAAAGGAACTATGACTGTGAATGTATTTTTTTCATGGATATTAACTTAATTATTTTTTTGTAGCACTGGGGATACAAACCAGGATTTTGCTAATGCCAAGCAAGTACTCTACCGCTGGGCTACAATCTCCAGTTCCCTTGTGTACTAGTTCTCCTTCTCTTTATTTTTTATTATTCATGGTGGGCATCAAACTAGAGACATCTTATATACTGATGAGCTAACACCAAACCTGCCTCTGTTCTAGTCTATAACCATATCTTTTTCTCCCACTTACTCATTATATTTCAAGATAAGAAATATAGTTTGATGATGTGATATCTCATTAGGTTAGTTTTCTTGTCGCTTTCCTGCTGGTCTACCCCATTCCTTGCCATACTCACTATTTTTATCTCTGCTGACTTAAACAACAACAACACCAACAACATATCAATCTAGTTGATTATTACGGCTACTAGAGGTAATATATTTCTGACCTGTCCCTAGACTGCCCTGTAATGCTACCCATGGTCATATACAAAGTAAGTTCCTACACAAAACCTTTAAGACATGAAAGGAGGAGGGGCACTATTTGGGAAGGAGATGGTGTTTGTTGGAGTGGGACGGTAATAAGAGAGGGCAAGGAGGGGACTATGTTCACAATACAGTATAAATATCTGTATGGCATTGTCAAAATTAAAATATCCAAAAATATTGCTATACATGCATAAAATTAAGATGGTGATTTGATATACTATTTCAAAGGTTTGCCAAAGAACACCCGAGTGCCTCCAAATACTGTTCAGCTCTTGTCCCATAACCAGTAGTGCAGTGTGGCTGAGATTCAAAGGGCATATTGAATTCTTTGGTTTTGAATTGCTGTGTGCCATCTTAGCTTCCTCTCTCTCATCTGGGATCCATCCAGTCTACTGACAAGTCTTTCTAAGCAATCTTTCATCTGTTTTGGGGGCAGGTTATGTTTGATACCACCCAGCATTTCAGTGAAGGAGCTATTCAGAGGAGGAATCAGGAAAGGCTAAAATTACAAGAGCTGGAGGAAGAGAGGAAAAAGGAAAAGAAGAGAGAAGAGGAAGTAGCTGAAAGGTAAGTAGACTGATTTTTAACAATGACGAGGTTTTTCCTTTTTTTGGATTAATTCATGTTGGTGAATAGCTAGATTCGATAGATAACATGGAGGTGAGGGCAGGCTTTGGTGCAGATGGAAAACTCTATCAAAGACAGTCTTAGGAAGTGTAGATGATAAAACAGTTGAGAACAAGGAACTGGAAAGGCATGTCAGGAATCAAGAACAAGTAATAAGGGATAATGACACTAGCCAGGTTACAAAATCTGGGGGGGGGAAGAGATTTTAAGAGAACGGGGGACTTCTGTTTTTATTGTGCTGGGGTTTGAACCCAGGGCCTTATACTTTCTAGGGAAGCATCCCATCTGTGGGCTTGTGGGCTGTAGTCAGGATCCAAAAGTTTGTAGTGATAATCCTAAGGTAAGTCAGAAATTTTATTACTTTACCAATATTATCTAACCTACCAATTTAAAATTAAAAACCCTAGAATTAATAATTCTAGAAAAGCTTTCTTTCTTTAAAATGATCAAGATTAAAGTAACCCATAATCGTGGATTTGTTGGGACAATTTTTCTTGTTGGCAAGAATTCTTACTGTGAATTTGAGATATTTCTATTTTCTTTCTTCAGGTTTACCCATCATGGAGCTTGAGCCTAGCTAGACCATTGCCAAACATTTGACAAGAAAGGACAGATACCAACTTTATAGGGTTCTAATAGCCCATCTTTTTAACTTTCTGGCCCCTACTCTTTTATATAAATCATACCATTTTCAAAAAACTTAAGATGCATTTTAAATTTTTTTATGTATGCATTTGACTACATGTATGTATATGTAGTATGTGTGTGCCTAGTACCTGTGGAGGCCAAAAATGATGTCAGGCCCTCTTGAGCTGAAGTTATATACCCTTTTGAGCTGCCATGTGGGTGTGGGGAACTGAACCTGGATCCTCTGTAAGAGCAGCCAGTACTATTAACTGCTGAGCCATCTGTTTATCCCACTCTTAGTGTACTTTTCATTTGGATGATGATGGCTGTTAGGTGTTGTCTGGTATCCCTATTTTCCATTTCTACTCCTGTTAATTCATTTGTTCACTTATTCACTGGATAATTTGATTTTTGATTATTAATTTTTAAAGTTCTTTATATATTCTGTGTATGAATTCCTTCAGATACATAGGTGGAGCCTGGTACCCTCAGAGTCCAGAAGACTCTATCTTTTAAAAAGTGAAAAGTAGGACCAGAAAGATGGCTCAACAGTTAAACCCTTCTCTATCAGAGGACCCGGGTTTAATTCCTAGCACCCACATGATGGCTCTCAATCATCTGTAATTCTATTCCCAGGGAAATTGATGCCCTCTTTTGGACTCTGTAGGCACCAGGCATGCATGTGGAACACAGACATACCTGCAGACAAAACATCCATACACATTAAATAAATGAGTAAATAATGGTAACCTATTAGAGCGACTTCTTTCTAGGTCCTCTTATATCAGAGTTGAAGTCTCCTATCTTCATACTATACAATAAAAAGTTGAGCCCAGACCTGTCAAGGCCAGTTGTTCATTGGATCTACATTCACTTTAGAGGTTTCCCCTTTT